AAACATGGCTTTTGCAAAATTCTATGCATGTTTTTGAGATCGAGTATGGAATTCTGTTTACTTACTTTAAATTGAGTATTGGTTTTCCTTCCTTTTTTGCTAGAATTGGAAATAGTGTATTTTACATATCCAAATGATTTATTCCTTAGGTTTTTGAAATAATGTAAAAAGAATTACTTTCAATAATTGCGGATTTTTTTGAAACACAAGGAATTGTTAGCCCCTGTTTGGTACATATTAAAATTTTCATTCTCATTCGTCTACTCATTTTTAACCACACTTTTTTCAATAAAATTATATTTTCATCACATCAATAATTTTTTCTTCTTTTTCAATCACACATTCTCCATTAATCTACTATTCCAAAATACATTCTTTCAAAATAATGTGGCCCAAACACACCCTTAATTCTAAATTAAGAGAAAGTACTTGGTACTACAATCATTGGAGGAATAATATCTAATCATGAGGATGCTCCAAAATCTTTTCGATTGCTTGTTCAAAAATTAAGATATTTAGCTTTAGAACTGACATTCTCAATAACCAGGAAGGTATGCTACACTTTTTGCTACTGGGAGAACTCAAGTTTTCTTTTCTCAACATTTTTATTGACAACAATCTGTAAATTTGATTTTTAGTGGAATGAATGTTTTTATTATAGAAAAAAGGTCAAAGAGTTCTCTAAATATTCAACGTTATTCATCACGTTGAATTGCTGTTGGGAACAAATAGCATCGTGTCAATTCGTCAATCTATTGCGTCTCTGCCCACATAGGTGAACCACGGGGAAGCCAGCTAGGCAAAAAGCCAAGCAATTCTACATTGCATCTCCCACAAGTCTTCTCCAAGGCGGTTTAGCAATACCTTGAAGCAACTACCATGTGATGAATTTCATGTGAATGATGCATTACTCTCCATTGAAGAAAGCATATTTAAGGTGTGAGACATCTGCCATTGGTCTCACCTCGATCCAAGTTGCACATCACATTGCATGCAGCGATTAATGTTACAACTATGTGATGGCTGTTGGAAAATAATATATTAAATTAATATATTTGAGTTGAATGAAATTGTAACAACAATCCACAAATTTCAAGTCTAGTCAATTCTAATCCTTGATATAGTAATAATATATTTGAATTGGTTCAATTTCATAATCAATTTGTGGTTACAAATTCATTCATGGATATAGTAACATTATTTGTGTTAAATACAAAATTAACTAAGAATTTGAAACCTCCCTTGTCCTAGTAACTATATAAGAATGTGTTCTTCTCCTTATTATATACATTAAAAAATCTGAGAGTTCTTTCTTCACTCCAAATTTGTCTGTTCTCTTTGTTTCAAGAGTTTAGTTCTTAATAACTTAAATAGTTTAGTTCTTTGTTCTAGTTTGGTGATAGAATTGAAAGCATTCTTAGTTTGCCGAAAGTAGTGACTAGTGACGAGGTCTTAGTCGTTACTTTCAATCGTTTTATCCTGTTAGACAGACGCCATCAGTCATCTTGCGCCACAATGGGGCCAAATCTGTTTTTAAGAAACTGTGTAAAACACATGCCTCGATTCCTTCCAATACCGCTATTACATCAACAATCATTTCCTCTAATTTTAATGTTACTCCATTTATTGTAATGTTTACTTCCATTATTTTATTTATACAATTCCAATAGTATTTCTAATTTTCTTTTTGTAATTTTCCTAACAATGGCTCTACAACGACGCTGCTTCATCAGATTACAACTTTTCAATATGCACTTAGGATATTCGTGTCACATGTTGAAGATAGTTATCTATTGATACAATTGAACTTGACAAGTGACCTGGGATGAGGTCATGTGTCAAACATCCAATAGGTCTCAGTCCTTCACTCTTGGCTATAAATACTTACACAAGTAACATCCACAAGTAATGATTATCTTGGTAAAGAATTTGGCACTAATATTTTTGTCATTTTGTCTCTCTTGCACCCAACTTATTCTTCTTTGTCTGACTCAAGTGTTAGAGTGCACACGATCATAAAACTCATTGAAATCACGATTTGTCTCGTCTAAGTTTGAGGTCAACAAATTGGTGCTCTCTCTTAAAAACCACAAGTTAACCAAGAGAATATCTCGCAAGTTTGAAAGCCTACAATCTTCCCCTTGAGAAAGTGTTCCAGAGAAAGAAAAAGTAAAACCTTGAAAGAGATCGACCTAAGATAAACAACCCCTTTAGATCCTTGCTCTTCATAAAGAAGCAAGTATTTTTTGTATCCTTTCCCTAGAAAAAGTGTTATTGTTGAGGAAAGAACAAGTGGAAGTTTCGATTAGCTTGAGATATTTGACTTTGGATCCGTGTTCCTTGAAAACGAAATGCAGTATCTTGGATATTTGTCATTGAAATATTAGCATTTTTTTTTGAAGAAAATAAGACATTCTTTGAAAAATGAGAGATTTTCATCCAAATATAAGTGAAAGTGAAGAACAAGAAACCTACAAAGAGCGACAAGAGAAGTTTCTGAAAATCAAGCTCTAGCAGTTGAAGTAGCCCCACCTAGGATGTCACTTCGTTGGAGAACGGGAAGAGCTACAACACGCCTTACCAAATAAATGTCAAACATGATTACAAAGATGATAAATGTGACATAGTAGAGCATTGCGATGCAGATCTTCCTCCGCACATGTAATTGCAACATAGAATGCAGAATGACCATCTTCAATATATGAAGGAGAGAGAGGTCATGCCCTTTGAAAGAAGAGTAAAGGATAATACTCAGGTCGACACTTAGGTCTTTGCAATATATTTTCTCAACAAGGCGGAATAAGCCTTTCCACCCACTTACAAGGGAGAGCGACCTACTGGGTCTCCTTGCATCTTTGATAGGATGGGAAGTGCAGGTCTAAAGATGGGCCTCACAATATCGTTACCATTGGGAATAAGCGAGAAAGAAAAGTTGTCAAGATGAAAGCTAAACATGACAATGACAATGGTGGTTGGATATCGCCATATCGGTTATGGTGTTGTAGATATTCTCCTTCCTCTAATTTTATGTATGTATTATGATCTGATGTTGGTTATTATTTTTGTGGTGAATTGGTGATAGTATAACAATAAATGTTATAAGTGATAATCGCAGGTGTAACAGTGAAATTTAAAATTGATGGACATGATGGTAATGCAATATTGGATGTTACAACTGCTAGTGAACTGCTACTGCTGCTGTTAATAATAAACACTTAGAGGCGGACCCAAGGGGGTCCTGGGGGTTCACGTGACTCCTCAACTTTTGAGATTTTTTTTTAAAATTATTATAAAGTCATGTTTGATATTAATTGAAATCTAAATTTTAGTCTAAATCAAAGTTAACAACTAATTTTAATAACATATTTTATTTAATCTATAACTATTTAAATTTTATCAAAATTTACTAAAAATTTGATTTTAATCTTCATCAAATAGGGGCAAAATCACAATATATTTGAATTTTTCTCTTTTCTCTTGCTATCTCTTTCTCTTTTCCTCTCACTTTTTAACAAAATCTTCACCCTTCCAATATTTTAAATTTATATATAATTTCTCTACAAATTATCACATTTATTACAAATCTTCACTTTCCAATCAAAATTTCAAGTAATTAGAACCTAAATTTGCATTTTCTTTTATCAAACTGTGTATATAGAATATTTTTGAACTCATTATATTTAATTTGACTTATATTTAACAAATCGTGTTTATATGATTTATTATTAGTATTAAATATTAGTTATATGTTTTTCATTTTGATTGCTTGAATTGATTGTTTGTATCAAATACATTATAAGATTTTTAAACGTACATATGCATTTTCTAGTGATAAACAAAACTTTAATAAAATGACCCTTCGAAATCAAATTGATGAAAATGATTAGCGAAATATTAATTAAAAAATATTTTGTAAAAGTAAATCTGCATTATTTTGAATCAAGTATGAATCATGTAAAAATTAAGAACAAAATATTCGATTTGTATATGGTTAAATTGTGTCCCCTAACTCAAAATGTCTACGTCCGCCCTGAAACTAGAAATATGTGGCAAAATATATGTTATACACTGTTACAAATGGTGACAATGACTGCAGTAGCGGAGGAAAAACAGGACAAAATGTGTGTAAAAAATCTTAAACTAATAAAAATGATATTTTGTGAAAAACTAAAATAAAAATTTAAAGTTGTGCATATTTAGAAATTATTTTGCTTCTAGTGTTGCTAGTGAAATGTCCTCTTGCATAGAAAACCTCTATAAAATTATAATATCGAGATAAATTTTTTTATCATTTTACTGATATTATTAATTTATCAATAAATAAGTAATTTATTAACCTATCGTTACATTCTTGAAGCCGTCAAGCTATTTTTAGTCAATGTTACAAAATATGATGAATGCTAAGCACTTTTTGAATTATCCTAATAAAAATAAAACGATGGTGAAATAGTCTATCGATTAATAAATTATTAAAGGGGTACTAAATACGCCTATCAAAAAGGATCATAATTTATATGGTAATTTGGATTTTACCAATTATTTGTTCTAAAGAAGCCTTTTAAATTTTTTTATTTATTATTATTTAAATAATTTATTTATCAAAATTTTACTGTAATTACTTTAATAACGCGAGATTTACACATCGAAAGTGCATTTGGACTTCATTATTGAAACAATGGCTTCAATTTGAAGAAAATAATCAAAACTTTAATCGTAGAAAATTAGAAATAGAACTTGCCAGATGCATCCAGTACTTATTCACGAGAGCCGAAAGACACGACTAAACCTCTCTAATTAGTAGGTCAAAGTTTTGACCTTCTAGAAATACCCAATACTAATTTCTAGATCCTTCCACAACTTACCAGCTCTCCCTCCTCCTCCTCCACACACACACATATATATACCTCCGCCGCTTATTTATTACAAAATTATTTTTCATTCCACTAATATTCCAATCCCCTAAGCCCACACCCCAAGAAAAAAAAAAGCAGAAATTTAAAATGGCTTCATCGGAGCCAGAGCTGAGATCAGATTCATCTCAAGCACCGCCGTCTCTCGAAGAATTAAGCACGAGAGGGGCCACCGCCTTCCTTTTTCCATGGATCCTCCGCATGGCTTCCGCCTCCACACAGTCGTCTCAAGAACCGGGAGATGTGGTGGTGTTCGTAAACCAAACCACTGGATCCTTAACCATGATAGAAGGTTCCCACGCCGTCGAATCGTTCCTCCGTGGCATGCCCGGGAAGGAAGGTCCACTACCGGCGTCAAAAGCAACTATTGAAGCCTTGCCGGTGGTGAAAATAACGGAACCGGGTTCGGAGTGTCCGATTTGCTTAACAGAGTTTGAATTGAACGGTGAGGTCAAAGAGATGCCATGTCAGCACAAATTCCATTCGGGTTGTATTGACAAGTGGTTGCGGGTTAACGGGTCATGCCCGGTTTGTCGTTACAATATGCCGGAAGAGGAGAAGAAAGAAACAGGTAGCGAAGAGGAGGAGCGGGAAAGGAGAGAGGGAGCAGGTGTGAGAATTCACGTGTTCTTTGCACGCGGTGGCAGCCGGAGGGAGGCTGGTTCGGATACAAATGTCGGGTCCGAGAGCAATCCAGGAATTGAGAATAGAAACGGGTTACAACCCGAAAACATGGATTTAGATTGATAGTATTTTATATATTTTATTTTAAAATTTCTTTTTATTTCTTGGGGGATTGTGGGTGTGGGGTGTGTGTTAGTCCGTTCATCTATCCAATCCACTAGTAAAACATGTTTACAAATATTTCTAGCTTCAATTCGAATTGTATTCTTATGTTTTTTTTTAATAAAAATAACAAATTGAGGACATTTATTCAATAAAATATTCCTCACACGAATCAATAAAACTATTTTAAGTTCGTGTTTGGCATTCATTCTCTTTGAAAAAAAATTCTATTTCATCGTTTCAGTCATACATTTTCAAATAAAATAATATTACATACAAATATAAAATTTTTGATTACTTTTTCACAACACATTCTTTCATTAATCACTATAAAAAATTTCAATTCTCATTAAGCTCTAGTTTATCTATCATTTTTATACACATTATTTTTTTACAGTAAACAATCTCAATAACATATTTACTCAATAAAATATTTTACACAAATCAATAAAATTACTTTATATTTCAACTATACATTCTCCAAAAAATATTATTTTTTAATCTATTTCTCTATCAATAATGGTAGACAAACAGGCTCTAAAATAGGTGCTTAACGCTCACTAAATTTCAACCATATATTTTTCAAAACCATATATTTTTCAAAAAAATACTATTTATTACTCCATTTATTCTACAATGTAGGAGACAGTACACAATTAATGATATTGTCTTGTTTTATATTTACTTCGGGTTTAACGATGATAATATGGGCGCTGACGGATCTAGGGGTGGGGCTGGGGGCACGTGCCCCCCACTTTACCCTTTTTTTTTTTTTTTTTATCATTTTTTATGTTTTGTTTCAATTTTCGGAATCATTATAAGATGTGAAACGAAATCGAAATATTACATTCTTAATATCATTTCGAAGTGCTCAAAATTTAGTTTTTTATGTCTTTAACGGCATGCGAAACGATCAATTGTAGTAAATGTTATAACTTGTCAAAGTAGGTTGTTTAAAATTAATATTTCGAAAATTTCGATAATATACTAACTTTAAAAATTTTTCGATGATCGTACGATGGTCGAATTTACAAATCGCTTATATCATCTCAAAACTTGTTTCAAGTACTACATTATAGGCATATCGAATAGTTCAAACGGATATCTAAAATAGTTAGAAATGCGTCAAACGTACGTATTAAAAAGAGACGTCTAACTCGCATTTTTTAAAAAATTTAATTATTTCATTAATATTTATTATTTTTGTGATACAAATTTCTCAATCTACTTTGCATTATTTTTTGAGGACATTTATATGGGATATGGCATCAAAAAGTTTCAAAATTTTACATTCGAAATAGTCTTATTCTATATAGATTTTCGGATGTAAAATTACATGGGGTATGATTTTTTTTTTTTTTTATGCAAATTTTCGTTTGTAAAATTTCTCCCAACTTTTTTGCAAGTTGGATTGTGCCCCCTAACTTTAATTGTCTGTGTCCACCCCTGAATATAGGTGAAATGTTATGACTTAGATCATCTCTCATGTCTTACAATTTACTCGTGAATGAATGGTTGGTCGACGATGCTGCTCAGGACTCTTGGACTTTACTTTGTATGTTTAATTTTGCTTGCATTGGTGCCTTTTGATGAGCAGAGGCTGACCACCCTCCCAATGTGGATAGAAACAAGATGTCTCTCCAAGAGAGGTCCAAGGTGTTGAAGCCACAAGAGTGGACAATAGAAACATTTATCACAAATTTTACAAATAGAAGCATTTTCTACTTGGCTCGAGGAAGGAAATAGATTCTCATTGAAATAATGGATGATTAGTTAATTAAAATGACATTTACACCATGTTTGATACACATTATTTCAAAATATATTTTTTACTTTCTTATTTTAAACTAAACTTTTTTTAATAAAATTATATTACAAGCAAATTCAAAATTTTTTAACCGTTTTAGTTTCCTCGTGTGTGGTTTTCAAGATGTCTCAAACTTCTTTAATAGTCTCACACATCGACACTCTTCTAAACTCTTCCGCAGACACAACCATAAATAGGGTATGAAAACCCTTACTGCTCCAGTATACTGGGCTAATTCATCTTTAGTCCATAGTGAAATATCAGTGGGTGCAGCTACACCATCAATAGTGATTGAAGGTGCAGTTAGAGATGGCAAAAAAAACCGTCACGCCCCGCCCCGAGCCGGTTGGTGGGGCGGGGCGGAGATGCCCCGCCCCGAACTCGCCCCGTGAACCGTTTAAAAAAAAGGATCCATGTATTCTCTGGTAGAATACATGATGAACAAAAATTTTTTGGAATAGTGGCGGGACGGGGCGGGATAGGGGCGCCCCGCCTCGAACTCGCCCCGTTGCCATCCCTAGGTACAGTCCACCCAGTTTGAACACTTATCCAAATACGCTCATCCAATACTTTAAGGAAAGCTCTCATTCGAACTTTTCAATAAGCATAATTGCTTTCGTCGAAAAACGAAGGCACGGATAATCACTGACCCATCTAGAATTATTTATGGGTTTGGAATTGAAATTAGGCTCTAATACCAATTGAAATTTACGCAGTTCAACCCGAACTACACCTATAGGGGGTGAATATGTGTAAATGAAGAATTAAAAATTGTAATTTACCAGAAACAAGTTACTAATTAATTATCTCTAGATGGTTAAGTATACAACCCAATTACTATATGTTTGAATATCGTATAATATGAAAACAGTAAAAAACACAAGGAATGTTCACGGAGAAACCCAACTGGATAACAACTTTGGGCGCTTTACCTGTCAAAATCCACTATAAACGATTGAACTTACAGTCCGTCAGACAATACGACGACACGAACTTTTTGACCTCCTGATTGAAGTTAATACAGTCCTCCTGAATTGCGTGCCCTTGTACCAACTCTTGACTGCAATCTGACAACTCTCCTGGATTGCGTGTTCCTGCACCAACTCTTTGACTACAATATCAAAGCCTTCCTATATTCTCTAACCCTTAGCTTTGTGGATTCGTTTATCTCCTATGGATTCTTAAAGAACTCTGTGTTCCTCAGTAACTGGAACTGATGTTTTCTCCACCAAGTATAATAAAATCAATGAAGATTGAAGTCTCTCAATGAATTGGAAAATGAAAAGATGAAGCTCTCAAGTTCTCTTTATGTTTCAACCTTCGAATTTATATGATAGGGTTAGGGTTTAATGGGACGGATAAAAAGCATTGAAATCGCTATTAAAAAAATTCTCGACTAACCCTGTTGCTTGAGCGAGAGCTCAACGACAGTCGAGCGGCGGTTGTCGCTCGAGCGAGGACCTGACGATAGTCTAGCCAAAATGTTTCTATTTCTGCCACTCAAGCGAAGTTCGGCGATAGTCTAGTGAAATTGCGGCGCCTTTTTTGTCCTCTTTTGAAACTCGAACCCTAGAACCTATACAACTCAAATACCAAAATTACAACCAACTCCTTGGCTTTTATAACCCATCCAATTTAGTCATTTTTGTTCACAGGCTTGTCGATTATATCATAAACTATCAAAACCTAACAAGGGTAAAACTTTAGCACAACAAGTCAGATGATGTAATTAAAGATTGGAAAATGTATATTATTGTTTACATTATAAGTGCTGTTAACAATTGATTGGGTGAAAAATTGTCCAAAATTTAAATTGTTTAATGATGTATTGCCACGTGACAAAGTGTAACAAATGATGTAGATGTAGCGTGGTTGCTAAAGATTTAATACAACTTCTATAATTTTATATTATCCGATTGTAGTTTCGCTCATTAAATGGAACATGTGGAGTTTTCAATTTGGTGCCCAAACACCTTGCTTAATAATTTTTTTTGAAGAATATTGGAGAAATCTTGGGGGTCTGAAGTATCAACTACTTCTACACAAAATTTTGGTTGAAAGCACGCTTCATATGTTTATCACTTAACACTCCTATACAAAGTTTTTACTAAATTTGTACTGTATAATTAAACAATTAATCCCGTTTTTGACAAAGCAGGGTTTGATACTTGTTTAATTATATTTATGTATTCAATTATGGCCATGTTGCAAAATCGTATTCATTCTTTTTTTTTTTAATCGAAATACGATGAATTACACCTCCATAAATATTTTTTCAATTAATTCTTGCAATTATAGACATTTTAAAGCCCTTGCATTAGACATAAGATTTTGCAATTATTTTATCGCACCTTAATTCGATCATACACACGGGCATGTTTGGTTTGGCTGCTTTCAAGAGGTAGACCAAACAATGTAATGGACTTGTTTGAAAAGAGACCACCAGCCATGCTATTGGTGGCGGAAACTAGGAGATGGTAGGCATTAGCTGTAGTACCCACCCAGGCACGTGGTGGTGGGGGTGTCTCTCCCATCGCTATCTCCCACGACATCGGCAGAATGCGATGACAACTTGTTCTCATCGCTACCGGGATTGGTTTCAAAGGCCAGAGACTTGGTGGTATTTAGAGGTTGTTGCTTGGCTTGACAACTAATTGAGTCTTGGTTTAAGATGGCAACAGGGTGGTGGCGACTTCGGGTTGTATAGTAGTGATATATTGGGTGGAACAATGTCCACGGTGGTTCTTGGGCATGAGAATAACCTTTTATTGATAGGTTTAGGTTTGAATCCTGAACAATAGTTGAGTAGGGGTAGCTTCGGGATTGTAGGACAATGATGGTTTGGGCAAAGTTTGGCATTCCAAGGTGATTCTTAGATATAACATTAGAGCTTATTCACGATGTCTAACAAGGGGTAATGGAAGTTTGGAACAATGTTGATGTTAGAAACTTTGAGGATCGCGCGACATTCCCTCTTTACATCAACATAAGTGTCACAAAGGAATCTGTGCACACTTTGTTGGAGGACATGTTATCATTGACAGTTAGCCGTGAGGCCTTTGTCTCAAGTTGATTCAAAGTTCAACCAGCTAGTGAGCTGGAAGAGCGAGACTATGCAGATGTACAAGAGTTGAGATAGAGATTCCGTACACTT